ACCAAACACATTGATATATACTAATGCAACTTTATAGCAACATCTGGGTCCACCCATTGCACAAGCATTATGCTCATCCTAAATACTCATGCGTTCCATCTTACTGAATTAGCTGGATGAACCTTTGACCAACCCTCCTATATTTTATCTTTTTTTGTCATTAGTGGTCTGTTCCTTGGAAACCCTTATGTACCCATTCCCCACCCCCCCCCTCTTGATGTTGACATTATGTATTGACTACATGCATTGATATACTCAATGTTTAATTTTGTCTATTTCTGCAGAATTAATGCTTGTAAGTCTGACACTTTTGTGAAAACCTATAAAAGAACTTTACTTGTGAAAAAAAAATATTAAACAGGGAAATACACACAGCAAACAAAGTTCTCCAGGGTAATAAATCTCTGCAGCCCAAAGTCCGTAGTCAGTAGGAAGGAGGCTACCCCTCTGGCTCCTCCAGCAGTCCCAGTGACGGTTCAGTCCATCACACAGGTGGGGAGAGCAAACTGTGCCTCTGGTGGGACAAAGAATTGCAGACATCACTGACAGATGAGGATTGGAATGACCTGTGCCTTACTGTTCACACCAGCTCCATAAGTAGTCGCACCCAAGAAACTAACTACAAGATTTTGACGTACTGGTATAGGACTCCGCAGATTCTACATAGGATTTACCCAGAGGTACCTGACACATGTTGGAGATGTCCGACGGAAGTTGGCTCTCTCCTACATGTCTTTTGGACCTGTCCTCTACTCACCACGTACTGGACCAGGGTTCATAACATCATCTCCCAGGTTACTGGCCAAACTATCCGCTTCTCTCCTGCAACTTTCCTTCTGAAAGACCCAGATGACACTTTGAGTAAATCACTGCAAAAGCATATGACTAATGCGGCTCGCACAATTATCCCGCCGCCTTGGAAAGAGGTGGGACCACCTTCTTTGTCCGAATGGATCAGACAGATCGATCACATTTGAGATGGAGGAATTACTATTCACGAGACAGGATGCGTTGGACAAATTTTCCTGCATCTGGGCGTGTTGGAACCATTTCACCACCACACTTGACTATCAGTCTCTCAAATCTAGAGCATGACCAACCATGGGATGGTATTTTCTCTTGAAGATCACCTAGTGATACTGGCTGCGTGGTTGACTAGGGGAGGACCCTAGGTCGTGACAAGGTCTCTTCTTGCCTTTTCTTATGCTTTCTTTGTCAAACTATTGCCTTTCTCTTTTTGTCCGTTTTTTTTTTTTACCCTCGCACCATAGATGTGTGAGATAAAGTGCTTCTCAATAAGCTACAGGGATGTCCAGAACAATAGGACAACGTGTTACGTATTAACTACTTGTTCAATATAGTCCAGCTTACGAACTTGGGATGCAGATATGATGATTGACTGTTTTTTGCTACTTTGGTGCCTACCTTCCCACCTCTCCTCCCTCCCTCCCTGCCCTTTCCTCTGTTCTTAATACTGTAATATCTGAAATGTTTGAAGGGCTGTGTTAAGCCCTGTTGCTTACTTCTGTATGAGGAAAAATCAATAAAAATTTGTTGGAAAAAAAACAAAAAAATATGACTATGCATTGCGTCATATTTTTACAACTGTGTAACAGCATAATCAAGCTCCAGTTTTGAACAAACAATATATTTCATAATGTATATTATTTACAATACAGAAACTGTGGATAACTTACTGAGAAGAAAAGGCATTTAGAGAATATGTGCAGACCATTTATTCCAGAAAGGGTTACAAAGAAAAAAAAATTTCTAGTACAAAATGATTTCATATTTTTCTGAGCCAGCTATAGAAGCATTTTTGTACAAAGCCACCACTTTTGTACAAAGCCACCTTTGCTGGTACAGCAGTTCTTTGTGATAGTGGTCAGCACTGTTCAGTGTTTAAAGGTGTCTATAACAGCACAATGTGTTCTCATTGTCCCTGGATTCCTCACGAAAGCACGAATTCTGTTCCTGAATCCCCTTCATGTGTATGGAGCACATTGAGGCTGGAGACAATGCATTGTTCTCTGTACATTGTACAATAATGGTACTTGTGAAATAAAGATATCTTTACTCTCTGACTCTTTGCTCTGTGTAGCTGTTGGTGTTAGGCTTATTTAACAAGGCAATGTAATAGCTGTGATATTTAGTGGCTTATGGCAACCAATCAGAATTCACATTTCTACACTTTAGAGCACAATTGAAGTATATGTAAACCCTAACAATTAACTTCTATTATTTGTTCCCTTTTCACATGTTAAATTTACAATTGAAGGTAATTTCTTACATTTTTTCAATCATTGCACAAAAATACCTGTTGATCCTGCCAGAAAAGTTGTGAGCTGATAGCTATGTTCTATGCCTGTGCAAACTGTTATCATTTAGAATTGTTTACCTTTATTTCTTTGAACTATAGAACACCTACAGATGAGAAGAGAGGAAGTGTTTTGCAGTCTCAAACACTTTCCTGTCCTAGGGTGACAACAGGATTACCAGGTGCAAATAAAGGGAAACAAATTAATGCAGCCACCTCATCTAAGAATTGGTAAGCTGCAATATTTTACATTTGTGTTCTTGGGTTTAGATATGCTTTAAAGATACATTCTGAATAGTTGATTGACTTCTGCAATTTAAACATTATTGTAAAGATACAGTGAATACCTTAACCAAAGCCCCCTTCCCAGAGAGAATGTTCTTCTTTGATTGTTTTTTTGCTCTCCCAAAGCATCCAACTGCCTGATGACAAACCACTTGTATAACATCACAAGCCTCCTGGTCCAACTGAGCTTATCAAGCATGTGGCATATATGTAACATATTTATAGTATAACTGAGTTTCAGCAATACAAGTATTTTTAGTAAATCAAGGATCACAAATGCCTGTCCACTCTCAAAGATCTAAATGCATTTCTGAGATCTATTTGTGTTTCAGCTTGTGCAGTGGATAACAGACATAGTTGTATGTTGCCCAAATACATTAGAAGATGTGTTTATTGTAAAACTGTATCAACTTTCTTTTCATTATTTGAATATTATTTGTCAATAGGAATTGATTTTAGCTGTCAGATTTCTACATTTACATAATGTATTATGCAAAAGGCCAATCTTTTGATAACTTTCTTTCTAATGGAACAATTATTGTAGCGTACACTATGATCATACGTAGGAGGCAAGTAATAATAATAACTTTTAAGCTCATACCTGTTGGCTGCAAATTTTTGACATATGTAGCCTCCCGGAATCTGCGTAACGATGTACCCCCAGAAGAATGAGCCATGTATCATTCCAACTGTTTCTGGATCCCAGGAAAACTGTGCTTGCTGTAAACATAAAATAGTCATGCCATCATATCAGCTCTGAGATGGTTCTACATTAAGTAATTGTAAAAATATACAGTGGGCACTAAAACATTTCATTTTATTTGGATGTAGGTTGATAGGTCTTGCCTGCATGTTAAGAGATATTTCCATTTGCCATTTCCATGTTTAGTATCTGCTGTCATTGCTGTCCTCCTTCTGAAAATGTTAGTTGCCTGGCTGTTATGCCAACTCATGGGCTTTAATACTTGTGTCACTAACCAGGAAAGAGTTTATTGCAATTTTTTGCTGAATCAAACTTTTGAATAAAAAGTTGACAAACAGGCAAGTAGCATTTTAGTATGCCTCCATAATGTATAGGAGTTGCCTTGTGTCTCATGCAGTATCACAACTACCTACATGAAAACTTTTTTTTTACAATGTTTTGCAGTATATGGGATCAAATACCCTTCTCACCTTCCAAATCCATTACTGTAGTATTACTACTTCTTCTGCTAGCACACATGTCTCCTCCTATCTTAGGTCCATGCATGATTTTCAAATGAATGGTGCACAACTAAGCCCAGCCACTTCAGTTTGGCACAAACTAGTTTTACATCTTATGAAAGAAAAGTTTTATTTCACAAGAGTTGTCCTTGAAGAAGCTTAATATGGATCCTTCTCTGGCTGATCAAACCAATTATATTTCTATATTGTGTTTGTCTCAAAAGACTAAGGCTAGGTTCACACAGGTATTGAATGCAGATGTGCATCCATCTCTTGTGTTACCACATGGCTCCCTATTGCCCTCCCAGTATGGACTTCCCAAAGAAAGAAGGTAACATTATTGGGCAATACTGTCAGAATGGCCTGGATGTTGCATGCCACGTGACTATCTTTCCAGACCTGGTGTCTGTTGAGAATTATAAATAGGCAGGAGTGAAAGTGGCCAATTTTACTTTTACAATATTTTGGTAAAACTGTTGGCTGATTTTTGGCAACATGTTGCCTGGTGAAATACATTTGCGTCAATAGGGAAGCCTAAATTATGGTTGTTCAACATAGCTTAATATTGTTTTTAGGGGGTTTTAGGGGATTTGAGTGACTTTTGAGTGTATTTTGTTTATTATTTTTAGAGTTCTGATGTTAGTTAAGATATTTTAGATAATAGGTGTTAAAATAGCACCTTGATTTTTTAATAAAGCATAAATAAGTACACCCCTTTGAACAGTAAGATTTTAATCAGTATCTCAGTGAACACAAGAACACTTTCCAAAGTTTTGACAAAACCGAGTTTTATAGAACATTTGTTTAGCTCATTACATGAAAGTAAGGTTAATAATATAACTTAGATTACAGAATCTTCAGTTTTACTCAAATTAGGTGAAGCAACAATGAATACACCCCACAACAAAAACTACTACATCTATTATTTTGTGTGACCTCCATGATTTGTAAGGACAGCACCATGTCTTCTAGGCATGGAATGAACAAGTTGGCAACATATTGCAACATCTATCTTTTTCCATTGTTCAAGAACAACCTCTTTTAGAGCCTGGATGCTGGATGCAGAGTGATGCTCAACTTGTCTCTTCAGAATTCCCCATAGGTGTTCAATTGGGTTCAGATCAGGAGACATACTTGGCCACTGAATCACTATCACCCTGTTCTTCTTCAGAAATGCAACCGTGGCCTTAGATGTGTGTTTTGGATCATTGTCATGTTGGAAAAGTGCACGACGACCAAGGGCACAGAGTGATGGTAGCATCTTCTCTTTCAATATAGAACAGTACATCTGTGAATTCATGATACCATCAATGAAATGCAGCTTCCCGACACCAGCAGCACTCATGCAGCCCCACAGAAGGACACTGCCACCACCATGTTTCACTGTAGGTATCATGCATTTTTCTTTGTACTCCTCACCCTTGCGACGCCATACAGTTTTGAAGCCATCAGTTTCCAAAAACATTGATCTTGGTCTCATCACTCCAGTGTACAGAGTCCCAGTAATTTTATTTTTCAGCATAGGCCCTTGCAAACTGTAGGCAGGCTTTTTTGTGCATGAGCTTTAGGAGAGGCTTCCTTCGTGGACGACACCCATGCTTGCCATTCCCCTGCAGTGTACGCCGTATTGTGTCACGGGAAACAATCACCCCAGTTTGGCTTTCTACTTCTTTAGCTAACTGCAGTGAACTTGCATGGTGATTTTCTTCAACCATGTGGTGCCATTGCTGACAGCATGACATGGGAAGGGGTTTTCTTTGTTAACTATAATCAACTTTTATAATCAACTGTCTGCTGGACACCTGTTTAATGAATAATTATACTCACCTGTAGTTGAATTCTTGTTAATTAGGATTTTGTTGTCTAAAATTGAGCTTTGCGTCTATGACTTTCATTGGGGTGTATTTATTTTTGCAACATAGTCTTGAATGAATTTGTTAGGAAAAATATGTTTTTGTGTGTGCAAATTAAAAAATTGTAGCTGCAATCAATGGCCCGCATTTGTGGGAGTATTTTTTAGTATAGTGTCTTGTGTATATATAGAATAGGGATGAGCTCAGGTTTGGACCGAGCTCCCTCAAACCTGAGCTCCTCCAAACACAGAAGAAGCTCCTTCTGCCACCACTCAATTAGCTGTGACCAGGAAATTCCCTGCCCACAAGTGCATGTAAGCAAAGGGGTTGGATACTGTGATCTCATCGCACTTATAGGGCCACATGACTATATTTGGTCAATGACATTGTCTCTGTGTGGCCATATGGCCATATGAGGTCAATGATGTCAGCCAAGCATCCTGCCCCCTAGTTTATGTGCAGCTGCCAGGCAGGGAATGCCCTGACCCATAGTTGATTGGGTGAGTGGCTTCGGAAGGAGCTCAGATTTAGACAGTGTTCGGTCCATAATATAGAACAGTAAAATTCACCAAAAATCAAATAAAAGTTTGAAACACCTGCTTACTGTCTGAAAATTATTCCTTTTTTGCATATTGTTTACTCATGTGTGGGTAATTTTTTTCAGCACAGTATGTATTACCATGATCACTGATCATAATCACATGTCATGTGAAAAAAAAATAACAAAAATAAATACCCCACAATTGGTTTCAGAAATAGAAGTCATATACTACTATCTACTGATACGTGATCTTCTTCAGTATCACAGTGATGTCAGTGCATTTCTCCTTATGATAAAACATTTTTAAGAAGGCAGAGAAGCTGGTAGGCTACAGAATAATTCTCTTTCAACAGGAATACAAATGTATTTACCGGACAACCCAACCAAAAGTTATATATTAAAAGGGTGAAATAAAACCATGTTCACTTTTTGTCTATGTTCATATGTTAGAGTACCGCTATCATAATAGTAGCAAGTGGGAGGCCATTGCTGACTTTATGAAAATGTCAGCAGCCTGGCTGTCTCTGGCTTCAATAAACCAAGGAGTCATTGACCTGGAACAAGGGTAAATCAAAATGAAAGTAAGAGAAAAGTCAGAATTTCTTATGTTAGTACATGTTCTGGGTTAGTGAATATTGGCATTACAGCATCAGCATAACAGCCAGCCAAATAGCATTTTTAGAAGAGGTCAACAATGGCGATCATCATGCTTCTCTCATGGCAAGTCTAAAATAGTAGGATACTTTTTATCTTTTGTATCCATAACTAAGATCTGCAGACTGTAGGTGTCATGCTATCCTCTCCAACTTCTCCATGATTGCAGCATTCAGGAGCATAGACAAGTAAATGCCTGCTTCCTAAATCATACTTTGGAAAAAACACGTACTTGGAAGCTGGTGACTGGCTAATGTGTTCAGTCAAGGGACAGTTGGTAAAGGCAGCAGCACATAGGGAGGGATGAACTAAAGAAGGCCTGAAGCCATTGGGGAAAAACAAGGACGCAGTTGCATTTACCATATTGTCTAAAATATTGACAGAACGCTTATTTCACAAAGCTAATCACACATGGGAATAAGGATCCTTATTTTCAAAAAGGTGAGTTATTTTTAGCTTTTTCGAATGATATTTGAAAATTACAGTCACCTGATTAAAACAAAGATCATATTTCTTGAGTAAAAGTTTTGTGAATTGAGCCTCTTAAGCGGTTCGCCCACATCATCAACTTTTCCCTTTTGATAGCTGCAAGAATAATGCAGCATAAATGGATTACATATAACATAGTGATTGCTGCAAATCCAGTTTAAAGGAGAACTATGGGCTTAAGACTTTTCCCCGTAGTTCTCCTTAGGGTAACGGGAGGACACAAACTAGCGTCCTCCCGTCACCCTAAGCTCAGTATACCGCAAGCTACGGCTCGCGGTATACTGAGATGCCACAGTACACTGAGACGCCGCAGCTGAAGCGGATCCCGACAATTATGTCTGGATCCGCCCAGCTGCGTGAGTGACAGCTGGCTCTGCCTATCTAGAGGCAGAGCCAGCTGTACCCGCCCCATCCCCCGTCCGATCCGCCAGTCAGCGCTGGCGGATCGGAGCGGGGAGGGGGGAATCCAGCCCCTCCCCTGTCACGGCACAGAGCTGTGACAGGATCGAGAGGTGAGCGAACGCCGGTATCTGTTCACTCACTTCTCGATCTACTGAGCCGACCTGTGACAGTTTCATTGTCATAGGTTGGCTAGAACTATGAGGTGAGTGAAAAGCACTCACCTCATAGTTCTCCTTTAAGGCAATTTCAGTTCACTGCTCCCCACCTTTACCATAACAGTGGCTGGTAAGCTGACTGCTATTGTGGTATATAGAAGGGTATGCTGTTGGACTACCGGCAGTGATCATAAAAGGTTTCAGACCTTACTGGTAAACTGTAGGGTGCAGTTCTTGGAGTGCAATAGAAGCTAACCACAGCTATTCCTGTCATGGTGACTGGCGCTGTGCCTGGGACCATGAAACAAGGGCATATGATACTAGCTAGGAATCACACTTTTACTGGTTAGGTGGCAGCCCACCTAGGTTGTCAGAGTGACAAAGCTGCAGTGGTGCAGAAAAAAAGTTCTGTCCTAGGCGCTCTTTCATGCAGACTCCACACTTTTGTCCCTAACATTTTTATATAATTATAATTGTGATTATTTTTTTTACATGGAAAGGGATTACATACAGGTCTACATCTATACTGTTTCGGCTCTGGAATGTTCAGCATTTCAGAGTCAGCATTTATTTTCCACAGCATGCATAGCACTACACGAATTATTGAGGATTTTTCATCCTCTGTCAACCTCACTGTAATACAAAAAGCAAAGCCGCTGTATTCTGTTCACATAAAATTGCAAACCATTTCTAAGTTTATAATAGTACCAAATCATAATAATTGGGTAGAGCTTTGACTTCTTAGCAAAGTTTGGTTATATACATTGGCATGCTGTATATATCAGGGCTGATTTTGATCCTCAACCAACATCATTTTGCAGCAAATCTTTATTAGGAGAATATGGAGGCTGCCAATGATGCCCTCTCCTTCAGAAAATGTTAGCTGCCTGGCTGCCATGCTGTTCCAATGGCGTCAGTGTTATTTGTGGCTCTGACCGGGAACAAGTATGCAGATCAGTTCTCAGTTCACACTAACTTTGTAATCTGCATGCTTATTATTAGTGACTCACAAAATACTGAACAAACAGAGACAGCCAAGCAACTCGTATTGTCAAACATACTCCCTCATTGAAAAAGACTGATTAAAAATGCTGCTTCCTATGTGGAATTATAATTTCTTCATGAACCACCCCCTCAGCAGTATATCTTTTGACATCTTGCTAAAGTCCTAGGCTTGATCATGTTGAAGATTTAGGTAGGGCCTGCACTGCACTATATGAAAAACAATTTCCTGACATGAATGTCTCCTGTTCCTACCCTGGTCTCTGGAGCCAGGCAGACTCCTTATAAAGAGGGAATGTTGGATAATCTTTTTCTCACAAGCATAAGGAAGAATCAGATCAAAGCAAGAATCAGATCAAAGCAAGAAGAAACCACAAACGTTATGTTGTCTCAGGACACTGTTCTATTGGCTGGTCATTTTTTAATGCAAACCAAAAGTCTATCATTGTCTTTATGACTCTATAAAGGATCATACCTCCATAACGAGCTTGTTCCCCTTGTACACTGTGTTATTATTCACCATGCTAACAATGGCCACTCCAAGGTTGCATCTGATCCCAAATGATATACAGAACCCCAATCCACTCATGATGGCAATGATATAGCGACGGGGCAGTCCAAAGCAAGTACAGTCTACCACAGGCTGGCGTTTCTCTGTTTTTATCACAGGCTTCCCTTCTTCTGTAAGCTCAATCGTTTCTCCATTGGTCTGTCGTTTCTCCAATATCCTGTAATGAACAATAATAATCATGAAACTTGTCTGATGCTGATAGTGACACATTACAGAGATGCTACATACAAGCTAAATTTACGTTAGTGTTCATATACTTTTTGCATCAAATTAAGCCAATCCCACATTATTTGTTTTTGCTATGGAAAGAAGGTTGACAGGGTTAAGCTGGCCGTACACTGCCAGATTTTTTCATTGAGCCTTAGACCTCATTCACACTAATAAGAGCTGGCCCGTACAGATCTGAGCGGCGTGCATGGCTGTATCATGCCGCTCCCGGGAAGGACAGGTGCTGCGTGTGATTGTACGCAGCAGCCTGTTCTTCTCTATGGGAGTACGTGGCCGTACGCTCATATCCGTGCGGGTGTTTTGGACCTGCTCACAAATTTGGATCGGATTAAGGTTCCGTACTTATATCTACCGCCTGGCCTGATTATATATAGAGTGTACACTCAGAGAAGAAATCATGCTGAGACAACGCTAGTTCAGAGTAAGATACTTCTCCTTTTTTATTCTTCCGCTCAACAGTCTTTTATAGGCAGCTGCACGTGTATGTTTTGTATGTTTAATCATAGCATTGCAAAAAGCATTCTAGCTTATAATTGGTTAGATCCATTCATGCATAACTTCCTTCCAGGATGTTTATGACTTTCGTCTTGGGTGTTGTCCTGAAGAGGAGGCGCCATCTTGGTTCCTATTTCTAGTGCGTACTTTGGATATGAGGGGGAGGGGGTTGTTGCTTAAGCAGCTATTTTCAGTAAGGAAAATGAGCAATAGCAAAATAACATTTATATTACAATTGATCTATTGAGATAGGCATTTTGTCATAATCGTACTTAACCACATCCATTACAGTTGTACGTAGGCGTACGCAGACAGGATGGACCCTGTCTGCGTCTGAGCATGGAAACCTGCACCCGCACGTGCAGTTTGGGTGAGCGTACGGTGGTGTACGGCCGCATATTCCTATAGAGAAGAACAGGCTGCTGTGTACAATCACACGCAGCACCTGTCCTTCCTAGGAGCTGCCAGATACAGCAAAGCACGCCGCACGGATCTCTACGGGCCGGCTCTTAGCAGTGTGAATGAGGGCTAAAGGTAGAACGAAAAAAGTCTAACAAATGTATCCATCCATGCTAAACAGAATGGATGGATGAATCTCCTGTTGCAGCTATTGTATTCTGACAGCAACGCTTGAGTACCTGAACTGTGACTGAAGCTGTGGGTGGGGGGAACGTGCATAATTTGCATATCAATTAACTGCAATATTTACATATGCATGCGTTATGGTATATTCACATGTAAATAGCACCACTTATTCAGATGTAAATAGCACCGTCAGTCAAGCCTATTTTCTGTGGGGGTAAAGTGGCCCCTATCATAATTTTGGGTGCCTCTGTCTGCCTGACATCTTGTGTCCGGGTCTCAGCTGCCATGAAACCCAGCATTCAATTCCCAGACTGTCCGGGTGAATCCTGGACAGGTGGCAACCCTATATCGTGCACTCATATACAATGATACAGAGAACTGTGCTGAAATCATTATGCACTGTAATGTAGACTGGGCTTTTGCAGGGGTGGGTTAAGACAAACAAAATCCCAGGCAGCTTAACAGCTTTGGGCCCCACCCCAGCAGGTCACCCCCTTGTGCATACCATGTTCACGTATTCCAATATAAGAAAAATAGCACACATCTTCATTAGATAATTATTTTTCCATATCACCACTTTATTCTCTGATGGACTGTTTTAGCTTTTCATTTATTCTTTTATACCTTAATGTACTGTTACCTTTTCCACCTTTTGTATAATTCCTATATAATGGATTTGAAACTCTATATTCTATATCACTCTCTAATATTTGAACAGATTATAAGCACTTCCACCCTCTGTATTTTTCTTGAACGCCCTAATAGAGTATCGTTTTTTCCACCTTTTGTTTTTCACACCTTTTGTTCATACTCTAAGCACTACTGCTTATCACTGTCCTGCACATGCTAAGGCATATTTTAAGATATTTATGTTAAAGTGCAACTGAAGCCCAAACTTTTAGTTTTTAATAGAGTGGGAAGTGATAAGAGCATCTCTCATGTTTTTATTCCTGTTTGTGTTTCCATTAAGGTGGTTCTCCCTCCTTATTTGTCCTGGTGACCAATATCACTGAAGTTAAAGTGAAAGGAAATCCTAAATTTTGAGTTGTCACCAGAACAGGAATAGATGGGTAATCTTCAAATAGGGAACCCAGTTCTGATGGACCTGCTGACCACCAGGCATTTTCCTCTCACGTCATGTTGTGGCTATCGGACAGGAAGTGAAGAGAAATCTTCCCAATGGGACACAAATGGCAAAAAAAAGCTAACAGGGGTTATAACCCTCCCTTACTAGTCCCCAGCTATTAACAAATATTTTTAAAAAATAATGCCAAAATCAAAGTAAGGAGGCAAATGTGAAATATTAGCTTACATTAATTTATATTGTTTATGCATTAAATTGAGGGGTAGAACATTGGGTATAGTAATAGAGGTGGGCATTGGTCAAGGATATAAACAGTACTACGGGCAAACAGAGGTCAGAGTATAGTTGCAAAAATCTGGAAACTAAATTTTTCCAATAAAGAATGAGTACATCAACACTTGGTGTATTCTATAAACCATAACAAATTATATACCACATATAAGACACTACTTACAAGAGAATAAGGTTACATAATTAGAACACATGGTTTAAAAAATAACTTTTATATTTACATATAGACAGCCAACATATAGAGCACTAAAAACATCACAATGTACCGAAATAGGTTTAAAAAAATATAACAATCCATATATTCAGTAAGATTACATGATTGTAACTGATAAGATACCCTAATTTCCCCCCAAGTATCACTTATCATAATTGAAAGGCAAAAATGGTATCTTGAAAATAATGCCTGGTTTAGACGTTTTCCATTATGCCTCCACCGGCTACCAAGTAAACCTCCCTTTGGTTGACATTCTGCCTACTTCTTGGCTTCACACTGGAGGGGAAGGAGTGCAGTATGGGGAAGGGGGTGAGGTTTAGTGGATGGGAAAAAGAGACAGCCCATCCCAGTTTGGGAGAAATGTAGGCAGACTAGAGGAGCAGTGCAAGGTGGTGTTTGAGGTGGATAAGGGGAGTAATACAGATGGATCCTGGGGGTGGGCAAAAAGGGCCATTCATAAAGATATTGGAAGTGGATAATAGGAGCTGAATCCCCCGACGCCCGGAACATACAGTTCCAGGTGCCGGGCCGTAAGTTGCCTTCTACATTTAGTCCTGCTCTGGAAATTAAAAAAATAATAGGAAATAATAATTAAATGAAAAAATAAAAAGGTGATTAAAAAGTAAAAAATAATAAGAACAAAATTATTAAAAAATGAGAAAATAATTATAAAAAATAAATAAACAATAATAAGATAA